TTCTTCTTGCTCTATTGAGAGAGCATTTTGATTAGAAGTAAATTCATATATATTATTTTATTAAGAAGATAATTATATTTTATTATAAGTAAAATACATATAAATTATCTTATTGAGAAGATAATCATAATTTGTCAAAAGTAAACCTTACATATATCATCTTATTGAGAAAATAATCAGTCATATAATCTCTTAAAGCTATAAAAGTAAACAATTGTCATGAACACAGTTACTTACTATTTTAAAATAATTATATATGCATAATCTTAAAATGATAATAATATAAGTCAAAAATAAATAATAAGATTCAGAATCTTTTTGATTCTCTATCTATTACTAATAATATTACTTCAGATTATATAGAGCATAAAGTTTTTGACTCATTTAGTAATATAATTAATAAAAAAATTTTATCTTTAAAAATACTAATTCAAGATTAATCAATTAATTTAAAATAAAATAAGTAAATATAAAAAGAATTATACTTAAGATATATATTATATTAATAATATTATTAATAAAGCTGGTATAACTAAGAAAAAAATATTTAAATCTCTAGTTATTTTATATTTGTTTTTAGTAATTTCTTTATTTTTAAAATTTTTTATCAAAAATAAATCCAATATAGATACTCTTATTCTTCTTTTATAATAAAAATTTTAAATTCTTAAGAAAAATTAAAATAATAGAGATTTAAGATTACTTTTAAAATGTGAGATAATTATAATTACTAAAAAAAAGAATATGAGAATATAAATAAGATAGATTTCTTGAATTACAAGTAAAAGTTTAAGATTAAATTAGATATTTCTACTATTTTGTATAAAAAAGAGTTAAAAAAGAAAGCTTTAATAATTATTAAATATACATAATTATAAATCTTTTAACAAAGTAAATATAAGATATTAAAATAATATAATCTAATTAAGTAGTAATTTCTAAAAAAGAGAAATTGTTATATTTAACTAGTTATTCATTTTAGATAGGAAAGTTTTTATTATCTTTTACAATAAGTACAAAAAAAATTTAAATAAAAAATTAATACTTTAATATTTAGATTATATAAAGAGAATTTTTGTATTATATAATTTTAATTAAAATAAAGTTCTGGATAAGTACTTCTAATATAGAAAGTAAGATAAATTGTAAAAATTTGTAAAATCACATGATCTTAAAAATTTGATATATAGAATAAGATAAGTAGTCATATTATAAAATATATAAGATATTTAATAACTATTTTTATATTATGCAATTTTAATATTTTATATTAATTTAGTAATATATAAAGATATAAGTTTTTTTTAATTTAGTAATATGCAAAAATTATCAAAAATATAATATATAAAGATTATTAAAAATATAATATATAAAAGTTATCAAAAATATGATCTAATTTTTTAACATGAAGTAAAAGTACTCAAAGATATTAATTATATAAAAAAGAGTTCTGAAATTAAAAAATATAGTTAACTTTTAATAATATACAAAGATAAAATATTATAAGGAAAAAGATAAGAAAAAATTATACTTTTATCTATTATCAAATAGAAATATTATTTTAGTACTATATATCTTAAATCTGATAATTAAAATAGTAATATTATATATGAATAATATTTAATAATATTAACTATATAAGAAATAATTCCAAAATATAAAAATATAACATAATTTTAATAATATTCAAAGATAAAATAATATAAGAAAAAAAATAAGATAAATTTCTGCTTTTATATATTACTAAATAAGTGATAATAATTCAATATTATATATCTTATTCTTGATTAATATTTGAATATAATATATCAGATATCAGATAGTAATTCAGTATTATGTATCTTAATTTTGATTAATACTTGAGTATATTATAATAGTTAATAATTTGATACTATATATCTTATTTTCTAGTAATATTCAAGTATATTATATAAAGATTATGAATACTATTTTGGTATTATATATCTCAAATCTGACTCTCATCAAGAAATTAATCAGAAAGTTAAGATATTATATATCAGATTTGAATATAGTTCTTATATCAAGTTCATAAATGATGACATATAACTAATATATCATTAATATATTTTTTTGCTTATGTGATCCAATAATGGAAATCAGTCATGATTACCAAACCAGTATATGATATATTACATATGGAGTGATGATAAAAATTGACTATAATCATTATCCAACATATAACAAAATGCATCACCATGATATGTGTCATAAAAAGCAAAATATGCCATCATGGTATGTGTCATAAAAAATAAATTGCTACATCTCTGATGTGAATATACTTAGGGATGTGTCCTAAAACAGAAAATGTAATACTCTTGAGCATGTCATAAAAATTGAATCATAATATCTTGGTGTGTGTCATAAAAAATGAATCATGACACATACCTAAGTGAGAATAACCTAACCTAAGTGGAAATAACATAATTATATTATTTTCACTGATCAAGACTAAATAAAGATAACTTAAAATAATTTTTATCAAGCTTAAGTCAAAATGTTTAACTTACAAGAAATTAAGATATAAAGAAAACAAAAAGTAAAAATATAGTGCTATATTTTTTCAATTATCAATTCATTGATAAGTTATATTTCAACATCACAATATTAATTAAATACGTAAAAAGAAAATATGTATTATAATGTTGTGTTGAAAGTTTTCATGATTGCTAAATAAAATATCCGAATATCTTATAATTTGACACTTCTTTATTAGTTTTCTCTCACAAGTTAAATAAAGCATTCGATCGAATTTGAAGACAAGAAAGAGCATTTCGAATATCAAAAAATGATTTATTTAAAAAAAGGATCGGTTTGAAACTAATATGAGAAACTATCCAAGTCAGATATGATTTATTTTGATAATGTTAATTTCATATTTTGGACAAAAAGTATAAACATGCACATAGACCCCTCGTCCTCTCTTTTGCTCCGTAAACGATCTGTTTTTGTAAATCTTATTTCGGGCCTCAAGGGATTTCATACATTCAGTTAGTTTTCTCTTTTCTTCTTCAGATGATTTTTCTCTTCTTTCGATACTTTTTTAAGGTTTGCAGACCTTTTCGTTTTCTGTCATATAACCACCGATTCGATCATTCATAGCGTCCAGGTTTTCAGGTTTATAAATTCCTTGACAGGTTGCCAAATAAATCAAGAGTCTTTTCCGTGACTCTTCACGAATAGCACGGTTCGTGGCGGATTGTCGATATATATAATCTTGCACGCGCCAAGTATATTGAAAAGAGTTTCATTCTCATTCCGTAATTTTTGTTGATCAGTATCACATTCGTTTTGGTCTTCGAAGTCTGGGAAATTAGTTCTTACGATGGTGGTGTATTCGGCAACTCTTTAACAGATTTTAATAACCCTGAAGTATTTATTTCTTCTTTGGTGAATCGTCCGTTGGCTACAAACAAGATTTGATTTAAGCCTTCTTTGATATGATAACTAGCTTCTGCTAGCCTGTAAAGAACTCCTTGGGTAGTTAGACGGATACAGTATCAATTACTTTGTATTTAATTTTTTGCTCCCCGCTTGTATCTATTGCTTCTTCGAATTCTTTTATTACATTCCTATAGTAATTGCTGCTTTCTATGCTTTCTATTGTTTTTTTTTATTTGTCGCTATTGTGTAATCTCTATTGTTAAGCACATTTCAAGTGTTAATATTACACATACATGTATTAGCTAATATTTTATGGAGTAACGATACAAAAGACATTTTATGCAAACAGGAGCTATTTTGATGAAAAGATCATTTCGTCTCCAAACTTGAAATTTATTTGATTAATTTCGAGAAAATCACAGTTAAGTACTTTAACCAAAAAAGAAATAGAAAGCCAAAACATTATAAAATTTGTGCACTTTAGCAAGCTACGGGAAAAGCTCGCGAAATTTGACAGTTTTTATCAAGAAGCCTCTAGAAAACTTGAAAAATATTTATAAAAAAAGTAAATATATTTGAAAATGCACATGAATATAATGAGAATATTATATTTTAAGTGGAGAAGTATGTAACAATTTTAATTGAATTAAATTCCTTTTAGTTTAGATCTTTACTTTATCAAGCATTTGCGCAACCGGATAGAGCATACCAAGAATTTTTGAAAAGAATCCTCTCGTATTATTTGCAATTTGATGCTTTAACTGTTCACCTTGTTCCTCAATAGATCGTATTTGCTCTATTAATTTCTTTCTCTCTTCCTGAGATAATTTTGGCTGTTGTTCTGTTAATTTTTTCAAATTCTTCAACTCTTCTTGTGTTTTTTCGTTTTCCGTCATATAATTACCGACTCGGTCATTCATAGCATCCAGATTTTGGGGTCTATAAGTTCCTTGACAGGTCGCCAAGGGAGCCAGAAGTCTTTTTCTTGGATCTTTACGAATTTCCTGATTTATAGATGCGGTACGATCTTTTAACGGCGGGTTATCAACATATATAATCCTGGTAGCGCTAAGTATTTTAAAAATGGCAGGATTCTCGGCACGTAATTGTTGTTGGTCTTGCTGACATTTAAGCTCATCTTCGAATTCAGGAAAATTGGTCCTTACAATGGTGGTGTATTTGGAAACATCTGCGTCGAAAACGACTGATTTTAATAAATCAAAATATCTATTTCTTCTTTGGTGAATCGATCGTTGGTAATAAATAAGATTTGATTTAAGTCGTCTTGATGTAATGACAGGCTTCCGCTAGTTTATAAAGCACTCCTTGCTCGGTCAAACGCGTATCACCGATTCCTATGGTATCGATTACTCTGTATTTAATAGCTTCTTCCCCATTTGAGTTCTTTTCTTCTTCAAATTCTTTTATTTGAATTTCTCGTGTTTCACTAATACTGTCAGCAATTTCCGTAAAGTTAAGTGATTTGGTTAGCACGTTAGCTAATGTTGATTTTCCGTTACCCGTCCGGTCAAATAACATGATATTTCTTATATCAGCCATGTTTTATTTATGAAAATTCACTGTATTCATATACGTGTTGTGTCTCGGATGACGATCTGCTATCGCTCGGTTAAATTTAGGTGGTTAGAATGCTGGAAAGATGAATTAATGTTAGGCCGAATTCGAACACATGGAATGGACATCTGAGACGTAACATATTGACATAAAAACAAGATGTTTCAAAATAGGAAATATCGTTGTTTCCTATTCCGTACATTTTCGTGAAAATTCTTTATAAAAAACAATTTCTAAATGCTATTTATATAATCATTTTGTGCTTTACTGATGATTTATTCATATTATTGGAATTATAACTTCATCCTAGTTAAGTTAAATAATGAATATATTATTTATAGAATTATTTAATATTTAAAATTCTACTAATTAAAATCAAGTAATGTCTTCCAACAATTCATAAATGAATCCGAGATAAATCATCATCTTTGGCTAATAAAAAGCAGCGATGGTGTATTTGTGAAATTTGTATCAATTCATAAGAGAGTTATTTGAGTAGAAAAGAGCATGATTATGTATCTCGATAATCCGCAACTACCACGAACCTGTGTAACTCGTGAAGAATCACGGAAAGACACTTGATTTATTAGATCTTTGAAGGAGTTTATAGACCTGAAAACCTGATGCTATGAATGTTCGAATCGGTAGCTATATGTCAGAAAATGAAACATGTTAGAAAATCTTATAAAAGTATCGGGGATATTGTTGCACAATATACTAGAGGATTTTTCTATGCGCTTGCGCAAGCGCTTAAAGTTTACTTAGAGAAGAAAAGATCTTTCTATCAAAGATGCGGTTAGGCTAGTTTCTACGAGAGCTCATTGATCATGTTTATACAGAACAGCTTCCATAGTTAATCATACATTGATCTTTTTTGATATAGCGCATGTTTGTATGAACAGGTATTTATACTGAATTTCGTGGTTTCACTTGAACATGTTGTACATGTACTATGCAACAGAAAATAAAGACAGTTCCTATTTTGAGTGTACTTTGTAATCGGAAATAAAGACAGTTCCTTTTTTTGAGTACTTAAACTCCTTTTTTAAATTAAATACCGCATGTATGTATCTTGTCGATAGCTAAAAATCTTAAACCCCAAATTTTCTTAACAAATATGATACTTATTTTAGGTCAAAAGAGGGGATTGATTAAAGTCGGTGCTTTGTGAAAAAAAAACTCCGCATAAATATAAAAATACAGTTTATTTACAGCAAAAGACTTAAAGTCACAAAATAACAATATGACTGATATAAGGAATATCATATTAATTGGCCGTACGGAAAACGGGAAATCAACGTTAGCTAACGTGTTAATCAATTCTAATGAGTTTATGGAAAGCGCTGGCAGTATCAGTGAAACACGAAAGATTCAAATAAAAGAATTTGAAGAAACAATAGACACAAGTGGTGACCAAGTAATTAAATACAGAGTAATTGACACTGTAGGACTCGGTGACACGGGTTTAATTGAGAAAGAAGTTCTTTATAAAGTGACAGAAGCCAGCCATTACATCAGAGAAGGCTTAAATCAAATTTTATTTGTTACCAATGGGAGATTCACGTTAATACTTTTGGGTTATTTAAATCTATCATTTTTGACAAAAGGGTTGCCGAATACACCACCATCGTAAGAACTAATTTCCTAGACTTTAAAGACTAAACCAAATGCGATTGTGATCAACAAAAATTACGGAATGAGAATGAATCTTTTCAATATACTTGGCGCGTGCAGGATTATACATGTCAATAATTCTTCATTAAAAGGTCGTTCAGCTGCCACGAACCGTGATATTCGTGAAGAGTCACGGAAGAGACTCTTGATTTATTTGACAACCTGTCAAGGAATTTATAAACCTGAAAACCTGGATGCTATGATGATCGAATTGGTGGTTATATGAAAAGATACAGCAGGAATTGGAGAATAATAAAAGAATAATGGAAGAAAGAAGCGATTAAACGAAGAAGAACAGAGAAAACTAGCTGAGCGTTTGAGATTTCTTGAGGCCCAAAGACAAAGGGATGAGGGATGCATGATTTTATAAGAGGATGTCAACTTTTTGTCACTTAAATTGAAAAATACGAAATCACGTTGATTTAACATTATCATATCTTAGTCTTGGCTAGTTCTTTGTTTTTTTATATTAGTTTCAAACAGATACTCTTTTGAATAAATTATTTTTTGATATTTGAAATGCTCATCTTCAACATCGATTGAATGCAATAAATGAAGTGACAAATTATAAAAAATTATCATTCTTGATCCATCTGTGTTCGAAAAAATTTTAAATATTAAAATCTCATTCACGTCATTTTTAATTAATATTTCAAGCTAGGTTTAAAGTGTATTTTTTTGTGTTGCGGATTGATAAAAAATTTATGCATTCTTGTTGATAACTGAAAAATCAAAGTTTATTATCTCTACCAACTCCAATTGTAGATACTGGAATTGGAAAATTAGCAGAGCAAATTGAAGTAATCATCTCTAAACTAGAAAATCTGGCAATCTCTAACAGATCTAACAATTGCTCTAATAACAGAATTCACTCAACTAGATATGAAAATTGTGAATGATTTGGTTATTTGACAAGTGAATATAAAAGCAAGCAAAGTAATAATAATAATATTAGATATTACAAAAATATTCTTCAAGATTAATTTTAAATTATATAATTTATATTTAATAATTATTTTAAATAGAGATATTAAGTTTACTAATAAATTTTGAAAGTAATTTTTGAATAACTTGAAATAAAATTAATAATATTAATTATTTTTTATCTATAATTAGATAAATAAATAGAAAAACTTAATAAAATATTAAAAAAATATTAAGAATATATATAATATATAAATAAAACTATTAAAATAAAAATTTAATATAAATTTATCTATAATAATAATAAAAATATTTTTATTAAATATATATTATTTGAATTAAATTATAAATAATTATTTTATATATTAATTATTATCTTCTTATTATAAATAAAATTATAATCTTATAAAAATTTATAAAATATTAAATTAATATAATAAAAATAATCAAAGATTTACTTTTAAAAGCTCAAGATAAATAAATAAAATATATAAATTAATATAGTTAATAAGAATTTTTTACTAAAAATCAAGTTCTTTTTTTATTTATAATAATAATAATTTTATAAATAAATAAAAAATAATAAAAAAATATATATTAAAATTTATTAAATTTTTTGAAATTATTAGTTAAAATTTTTTTATTACTTATAATTTATAATTATAAAATTATATCTAGTATTTTATATCTTATTTTTAAAGAATATAATTCAAATAATAAATTTAATAAAAATATATTATTATTTATTATTATTATTTTAAATAATAAAGAAGAATATAAAATTAAAAATATTTTTAATAAAAGAATTTATTATTATAAATCTTAATATTTTATTAAATAATTAAATTATTTTCTTTATAATATTATTTAAGAATTTCTTAGAAACTTGAAAAATATTATAAAAAAGATTAAAATTTTTAAAATTTTATATATTAAATATAATAAAAATATTATATTTTAAGTAAAAAATATATAATAATTTTAATTAGATTATTTTTTTTTATTTAGATCTTTATTTTAT